TATACTAAGTATAATCAACGTTTTAATTTCCAAGACCCTCAAAATAGGGTGATATCATAATATAAATAGAAATTTATATTTCCCACTTATTATCTTTATAATAAGTAAATTTATTTATTTGTCGGCACACGGCCCTTCTTATATATCCTTTTTCATTTATCATTTGCACGACCCAACCCTTGGGTCCTATTATTTCTACGGGACTTGCTACCGTTGTCCGAGACCTCATGAGGCTCCCGGTTCGGACTCCAACATCCCGCCCTGGACTCGTACCCATCATCCCGTAGGAAGGTAAGGCCCTTCGGGGTCCTATCTTATGTGTTACCGCTACCGGAACCTAGTTAGGTCTCCGATTCGGATTCCACCCTAACCCGTGATCACGATGTAAGTCCATGCTATCCAACCCCGCTCTCTAGAGTCGGGAAGGGCCATGGTCCTTACTATTTCCATAATTCAACCGGCTATCTACAAGAATCACCGATCACACCCGTAGGCCAATCCTATACTTAGGATCAATTTAATATTCACACTATCTTGGGTATCCCTTAAGGCCTACCCCTAGTATAACTTAAAGTTCATACTTTCCTACCTTAAAGCATCTCTTAAGACTACTTAAGGCATAATATTTCACAATCCAACCTTAGGATCAATCTTAACAACATTTCATTTTAATGTCCAACTAGCATCTTAATACTAGTCAAATTAATATCAACGAACCAAGTTCTCAACTCATAGTCATATAGACAATTCCAACTGATTTTCCTTTGAAAATATCATTTATGTCAATATCCAAAATATCACTTTTAATCACTCATATATTCTAATATGAAGAAAAAAGTATATTTCAACACATGTTTCATAACAAATTCCACTTTCAAGTCAACATACTCATAACACATGAACATACACAATTTATTCCTAAATTTGTATATCATGCTCCTTTTTCTCTAGACATTTAATCTTTTCATTTTAGGCATTATTAATCGTTAATAATCCATAAAACACATTTAATTACCTTCGGTAATCTCATGAAATTAACTCACTAATTATAAGCAATATAGTCAGCCATCCTCACCTTATGAAGTGCTGAAATAGTTGCCTTTGCTAAGCCCCTCGATCAATCCCCGTTCTAGGCCGATTGGAGATGAAAAAACTGAGCTGCTGGGCAAAAGCCGGGCGGCTTTCACGAAAGCCGGGCGGCTTTCGTGGTCTGCAGAAACGGGCAGCTCCCTTAAAGTGGCGGTTTCCGGCGATTTCGACTCCTATCGATTCACCAACTCTTTTAAGTTAAATATCACCACTTTATATCAATATTCTACACTTTTAAACGTGTAGAACATCATGTTTAATCCACCATATGATTTCTTAAAAATCATACACCATAAAACTAGTTAAAGAACAATAGTTATGTTCTTACCTTAAACACAAGCTATTTCTTGTGGATTTTTCTAGCTTCTCTCTTCCTCCAACTAGAGCTTTGCTTTCCCTTGGGCTTCTCTTGCTTTGTGCTGGCCGAATGGTTGCAAGTGAGGAGGGAGATAGGCTCCTCTCAATCAACACAATTGATTGAGTAGAAAGGGTGTAGGGATGGGTTTTTGTCTCAAATGAGACTCCTCGCCTACTCTGCACGTTCCAGCATGCTTCTTGGTCCTTTGTGATACATAAAATCGTGGGGTGGCCCCCACTCATGTGGGAGGTCATCCCCTTATGTCCCGATGTGCAAAATCGGCCCCGAAAGTTGTATTTTTCGGACTACTTTGGTCATATTTTATTTTATCGGGTCGGATAAAATATATCACGTGTTCCTAATAATTATGGGCCTTTAGAAACGATGTACATTCCCCAACATTAATTTAAGAGTCCCCGAAACTCATTTCGGGCCGTTATCCGCTAAATTACCAATACCGGTAATTGGGCCCCGTTTGACCAACCGGTCAACTCCATGCCTTCCTTATGGCCCAAATAAAATATCCACCACCATATACATATTATCTAGGCCAAGATGAATATAATATGTGGTTCGGGAATCATCGGGCGGTCCCCGTTCCCGCTGTGGGCCCCACATGCAATTTACTATTCACGTAAAAGAAATAATAAAAATTTACAATTACGCAATTTCACAAATCATCTTTCAAGGTTCATTACATAATTTACTAAAGTAAATATGCTCGGGGTCGGTGTTACAAGCTCACCCCCCCCCCCCCCCCTTAACGGGAATTTCGTCCCCGAAATTCACAATGCTCATTCAAACAAAAACGCGTATTGCTCTTTCATCAAAGCTTCCGTTTCCCAAGTTTCCTCTTCGACTCGGTCACTTTTCCAAAGGACTTTAACCATTGGAACTTTCTTGCTTCTCAATTTCTTGACTTGCCTGTCAAGTATCTTCACCGGTTGCACGGCATAATTCATGTCTTCCCGTATTTCCACGGGTGGTTTTTCTAATACATGTGATGGATCCGGCATATACTTCTTAAGCATGGACACGTGGAATACGTTATGTATCTTCTCCAATTCTGGAGTCAATTGTAATCGGTATGCCACGGCCCCAATCCTCTCAAGAACCACGAATGGCCCTATGTATCGTGGGTTAAGTTTCCCTCGGCTCTGAAATCGGAAAAAATCGGTGGCTATTTGTAATTTAATCGAAAATTCACGACTTCCGCTAAATGAGCAATAATGTAATTGTAATGAGCATCTGACTTATCTTTTTGAGTATGTAAGAGGCTAACAATGAGTTTCACGATTCCTGCTTTATATCTTCTAATTTTTTTTCTTATTCTTATTTTTTCTTTTATAAGAAATTATTAAATTATATCTATAATACACTCTTATTAATTTCAATATGATAGTATAATGTCATATTATACTTTAGAAATATACATTGACACAACATTTTAAAAATGAGCATAACATCATACCAAATAAACATATGTAACTTACGAAATGCGCATTGATAAGAAAATCGTAAAGTTTGTTAGTTGCACATAACGACATTTTCATTGAGCATCAAAACTCATATCTCGATATGAAAATCACAGTTTATATAAAATGAGTATTAATGAACTTTTAATGAGCATCCGACCTATTCTATTGAGTATTAAGAGTCTAATATTGAGCATCGTGATTTCTGCTTCATAACTTCTAATTCACTTTCAGTGAGCATCAAGCCTCCGTTATTGAGTATTAGAATATGTGATCGAGTATCATGATTTGTTGTCTCGTGTTTATAATCAACTCTTATATAAATGTAATGTTATATGAGACTTTTGAAATGTGCTTTGCTAAAACATTTTAAAAATGAGCATAAGAGAGATACTAAATGCACATACATAATTTACAAAATGAGTATTCACAAATTGAAAAGTTCATTTGTGTATGTTCATTTTTTAAGCGTTTTATTCATTTCAGTTTAAGGTAAAACTCATTTCTAATGTGCTCGGTATAATATATGAAAAAGAGAAAGAGGTAAAACAAATAAAGAAAGGAAAAGAAGTAAAAAACAAAGAAAATAAGTAAAGAAAGTAAAAGAAAAAGACAAACCCAAAGAAAGTGAAATCAACCACTAAAAAAGTAAAGAAAATAAAAAACAAAAAGGCAAAAAACCTAACAATCAAAACCACTAAAAAAGTAAAGAAAATAAAAAACAAAAAAAAACAAAAAGTAAACAACGATAAGAATTGATGACGGCGGAAGAAAGAAAGGAAATGTGGAAGGCGGCAAAGAAAAGAAGGAAAAATGGAAGACGGCGCAAGAAAAGAAAGAAAAGTGGAAGGCAGCGGAAGAAAAAAAAAAGAGGGGGGCATTAGCCTATTTATTAGCCTCAGACTTTCTCCTAATTACAAAAAAACGGGTGTAAAAGTACACCCGGGTGTAGGATATAATTTGCCTCTGATATTAGATCTAAACCCAAATAAACCAAGCCTCAATAACCTCAAGCCCATTATTTATCTAATAACCTTTAGCCCAAACCAATTTATTCAAACCCATATAACCTTTAACCTTCAACTCGGCCCAAATTAATCAAAATCCGAACCCGATTCTATCTCAAATCCCAACTCACCTTGGCCCAATACCTTAAACTCACATCTGTTTATTCTGTGCAATACAAGCTATCATGTCATTTCTCTCTGAAGAACAGTTTTACCCAAAAGGGAGATGGATTGATATCAAGGATAACAACTACTAAGAGCTCTACACGCATTATGGCTTCAAGCTATCTACATCATTCTTTAGAACTCTCACTTTATTCTCTCTCTCAACTTCAAATGTATATCAGGTATTCACATATTTATCATTATGAATATACGGTATTAATAGTTGTTTGATATTTCTTGTTCTACATTTTTCTACATATTACTTCGTATTGTTTAGTGTTAATCAAGTGTTCATCTGAGAATTCACAATAACAATTGTAGAAAAATATCATAACATAGCACGTAATGAGTTTAATATATATGTATGGATCGGATTATTATCTTCCACAAACAATAAAGCATCGGTCTGTTTGTTTGCGGGGTTAACATAGATTATTGCGGGTTCAATTTTTAGTTAATCGTGTTTATTTGTATTTTGACAACAAGAATCTAGGTTATTAATAAATTTGGTTAACCTCACATACAGGAGTGGAGCTAGGACAATGGGAGGATGCAAAGAATATCTTTGGAAAAAAATTTACATGGATTTTTTACTAAAAATATAGGCATTTTCTAAATTTGGGGTGGACTGAGACCTAGGTTGTCCCCTCCCCCACCCCTAGCTACGTTCCTGCTCACATAACTCCCGAGCACTTGAAAAAATCTAAAATTGAAGAACCTCCGAAATGAGGGTTTACTCGGAGGTAAAGTTCTCGTATAACATAAAATGAGGTAGAGTACCTTCATCCAAACAACATTTATTACATTAATCTAGAGGTTCACCTTATTTATTTTCAAATAAAATTTAACTCATGAATCTAGGTTCACTTAGACTAACCTAATTTTTATTAAAACTTAGGTTTACTTTTTTGCACTAGATTTATTTAAATTTAATTTACCCAAACATTAAATAAATAATACAATAGTACATATCGAGTGTCGAGCGACTACATAATGGATGGTGTACTATTAGTACGTGTGTGTATGTGTATGTGTATTATTAAATTAATTAATGTAACGTAAGTATAGCACGTACATGTATAGAGTGCATATATATTTGAAAAAAGAGAATGACATCTAGCTCGATCATGTGTGAGTACTGTGCTGGCCGGAGTATTAACAAACTCCGTTAGTCTTAATGGTCTTGCGGTCAGCGACGAGCTTTTTCCAAGCGGCGGTGATCTCAAGAGTAACTTCACGCTCAGTTTTCTTTTGAACGTCAAGGGGTGGAGAGTCGTCGTGATCGGCGGCGGCGAGTTTGGCACCGACCCGAGCGGGAAGGGTGTCGAGTTCGTGGATGACTTTCTGGATGTCATTGACGAGGCGTTCGGCCAAAGTGTGGGAGAAGTCTTCACGGACGACGACGCGAAGGACGGTGACGTGCTCGGCATGGGGAGGCATGGTGTAGGCGGGAACGATCCAGCCGTAGCGGCGCAGCATGTCAGAGATCTCAAACTCCGTGTGGCGGCTGTTGTCTTTCAAAGAGAAGGCCACCAGCGGCACTCCCTTGTCCTTTGATACAATGTTGAACTTCCCCGTTTTCTCCAGTCCTTGTCGCAACACCGTTGCATTCTCTTGGCAATTCTCCATTATACTCTTGTAACCCTACGTACGTACGTAGGTGCATGCATATATCATACGTATTAGTGACGTGGTTAATTAAAATACGTATATCAGACGAGTTTAATTAATACTCTATTACCTCAAAACCCAATCGAATTAGTTGGTAGTACTGGGCGATTACTTGGCTAGAACCTGCATGCATGATATGATGGAAGAAATTGAATTTAATTTGTATGAAAGTGTATATATATATAGTTACCCTTAGCTTGGAGTATGTATGGTGGGTAATATACCCTTGGAGAAGTTGAGAGTGAAAGTAGGCTGATCAGCACCGAGATAATTGATGTGGAAGATGAGTTCGTCCGGCAAGTCGTCCTTGCTCCTCCAGATGACCCAACCAATCCCAGCGTATACCAGCCCATACTTGTGGCCGCTGACGTTAATGCTCTTGACCAACGGCACCCGGAAGTCCCACTCCAGATCCGGATAGAGGAAGGGCGCGATGAAGCCGCCGCTGGCTGCATCCACGTGGATCGGGGTCTCCCACCCCGTCTCTTTGTTCTTTTCCACCAACAGGTCGTTCAGCACTTTCACGTCTTCGAACTCTCCGTTCAGCGTTGACCCCAGGATCGCCGCCACGCATATCGTATTCTCGTCCACCATTTCTACCGCTTTCTCCGGGTCCATCACATAGTACCCGTCTCTCAACTTCACCTCTTTCAACTCTACTTCGAAATACCGTGCAAATTTCTCCCAACACACCTTCAATTCATCATACATCATATATCAGCCTCCAACCGTACGTGCGTGCTAGCTAATTATATATACATACATGCATCTTTCAAAACCTACATCTCCACCACTTTACCGTACCGTACCAAAAAATTCCACAATAAAAATATTCAAATTTAGCTAGAGCTGCTAATAGGGTAGCCTCTTTAGATAAATTTCTTTCATCTTTTCCTTTTAGTAAACTGCCTTTCTAGTACATTGACATATATATTTGTTAAAAGTTATGTATTGCTTAACTATATCCATCTAATTATTTAACTTTGGCCACAAATGTATACCCATTAGCTTGTCTGTAATCCATAAGTTAGCCAACTTCTCATCTAAAAGGACGCTAACTTATGGAAAACCTAAGGCTTTTGAGAGAATAGAGGCGAGATAAAGAGATTAGGTTTTACGCCGCTCTCCTTCTCGAGGGAGAACATTGGCAGTCCACGGTATACCAGATTCGTTTATCATCTTCTCGATATCTTTCTATCTGATTCTTCTTCACTGTTATGATTGTTTGATTGTTAACAAACAGGGACTAACAATAGAAAATAAAAAGTAGAATAAAAAATAAGTCAAAAATATAAATTTAAATATGAAATATTTATATTTTTTGGTAAATTCAAAATAAAGAAATAAAATATAAACTAAAAGAAATTAATTCTTATATATAATACGTAAAAAGACTTCAATATATTTATAATAAATAATATAAATATGTAGTTACTACTTTTATATTTTAAATCTTATATGTGAGTAATTTTAATATTACTATAGATATAAAAAAGTGTAATTAATAACTTTTTAAAAAAATAGGGGAAAATGGAAACTAATAATCCAACCTTTTAGCGATCTTCTTATAATAGTCCCACCTTTTTATTATTAATGAATAATCCAACCTTTGCACCCCATCTTTATTCACTGGTCCCTTACCGATTTATGACATGTTATTTCAAGTTATTTTCTTATCTTTGCAAATTGAGCAATCGATCGAGAAGGGTACATGGGCTGACCCTTTAGCATTTAACTTTTATGCGACTCTTTTTTCAAAAAAGTAGTGCAAAGTGATTAAATCAAATTATTCAAATTTTCAAACACAGAGCGAATAAATGTGAAGTTTTACATAAGTTATTAAAACATCATTGCCTTTGTCACTAATTCACCCTTAGAGAAATGTTTTTTCAAAAAGATGAAATAAATTAAATATAAGTACGTGAAAAAAGGCATAATATTGATAAAATGGAAAACGAGTATCAAAAAAATTTGATGGGTCTTAAATGTTAAGCTCAAATAATGCTAATCTCTAACTAAACAGAAACCAAATTATAAACATGTGTTCTGATAAAGAGAATGTTGTGGAATTTTAAACTTGTTTTACTTAGTCAACATTTATTTGTTATTTATTTCCATGTATTTAGGATTGTATTTTAGGAGCTGCATGTTTAGTTTATACGTGTGCGTGTGGTTATTAAACCACACCCTCACACATGTAAGAAAGTAGGACCATAATGTGGGGTTGGTTATGTTTTGCATCTTGTATATATAGGGTGTGCATCATGGGGGGTTTTCAATCCGAATGTAATGGATTGTTTCCCCATGAATGAATGAAAGATAGCACATTACAAGAAGAATCATACTCTTTTGCTTCGTTTTACATTAATGGTTAATATACAAGCTATTTACGTAGCAAAAGTCATTGTGTAGTGTGTAGTTTTCCCAACATTTGGTATCAGAGCGCCCTCAGGAAAACGATCCATCATGTCCAGGGAAGGAGATCCACAATCGCACGAGAAAGGTGACACTTTATCCCTCAAATATCCTATGCTCACTCAAAGTAATTACGCCGCATGGGCTATCAAACTGGAAGTCTTCATGATGGCTCAAGGGGTGTGGGATACAGTTGAGGCTGAAGGAGTAGTTGAAACACGTAAGGATAAGATGGCTTTAGCAGCCATTTATAAAGGTATAAGCGAGGACACACTGTTGCAGTTAGGGGCAAAAAAGACTGCCAAGGAAGCATGGAATATGTTAAAAACCATGAACCTTGGAGCTAAAGGGTAAAAGAGGTGAGAACCCAAGCTCTTTGGAGAGATTTTGAAGCAATGAAGATGACTGATGCTGACAATGTTGATGATTACTCAAAGAAACTTCAGATAATTGTATGTAAGCTGAGAGGTTTGGGTAACAAAGTAGAAGAAGAGGTGGTAGTCAAGAAGTTGTTGAGGTCCATCTCACCAAAATTTCTCCAAATTGCCTCTACCATTGAGGAGTTTGGTGATCTAAAAACAAAGCTTGCAGAGGAGGTTATTGGCTCATTCAAAGAACGTGAGGCAAGGCTGCAAAGTTTTGGCAAAATGGAGGATGAGACTGTTCTGCTCACTTAGGCAGAATGGAAGGCAAGAGAAGCATACAAAAATCAAAAGGAGACCACTAGAGATCAAGGGAGTTCTAGAGGAGGAAAAGGCAGGGGTCAGGGAAGAGGAGGCAATAGTTCTCAAAATAGAGGAGAAGAACCCCAGCAGAAGAGAAATTTTGATAAATCTAAGATCAAATGTTATGCATGTGGAAAAATGGAGCATTTTGCCTCTGAATGTCCTGAAGAAGAAGAAGGAGATGGTCAAGTGAATCTAACTGAGAAGGAGGAACATGAAGAACCTGCACTCTTGATGATAGAAACCTGTGAACTGACCAGATCACAAATGTCAGATGCCAAGGAAGTAAACAAGGAGAAGGCAAGAAGGGAGACAGGTTACGTTGGTACCTTGATACTGGTGCTAGTAACCATATGATAGGGGATAGAGAGTGTTTCACAGACATTGACTCCTCTATCAATGGTAAAGTGAGGTTTGGTGATGGATCAGTCATTAATATACATGGGTTAGGATCGGTTCTCTTTCAATGCAAGAATAGGGAGCATCTGATTCTTAACAATGTGTATTACATACCTAAGCTGCAAAGTAACATCATTAGTCTTGGTCAATTAAATGAAAGTGGAAGCCGAGTTGTTATTGAAAGTGGTATTCTGAGAGTATATGACCAAAGTAACAGGCTCATAATCAAGGTGAAGAGACAGGACAACAAACTATTTGTTGCAAAGTTGGAGATTGCATAGAAAGTTTGCCTAATGATGAGTATATCAGATAAAGCATGGTTGTGGCATGCCAGGTATGGGCACCTGAACTTTCAAGCATTGAGAAGGCCAACAACCAAGAAAATGGTGGAAGGAGCACCTGAGATTACTCACATAAACAAAGTGTGTGATGGATGTGTCATGAGAAAGCAACACAGAACATCCTTTCCAGACAAAGCAATGTTCAGAGCCACTCAACAACTTGAGTTGTTACATGGAGACCTATGTGGACCCATATCACCACCTACACCTGGAGGTAATAAGTATTGTATGCTACTTGTTGATGACTATTCATGTTTCATGTGGATATATCTGTTGAAATGCAAAGATGAAGCTTTTGATGTCTTCAAAAGATTCAAGAAATTAGCTGAGACTGAAGTTGGAAAGAAGCTTAAGTGCTTTAGAACTGATAGGGGAGATGAGTCTACCTCCTCTCAATTCATGCAATTTTGTGATAATGAAGGAGTAAAGAAACACCTCACAGCACCATACTCACCTCAACAAAACGGAGTGGTTGAGAGAAGAAATGAGACAACTCTGGAGATGACAAGAAGTATCATGAAAAGCAAGGGTGCACAAGCTAAGTTTTTGGGGGAGACTGTGAAGACCACAATATATATTCTCAACAGAGCTCCAACTAAGAGTGTGCAAGACATGACTCCTTATCAGGCATGGCATGGAAAGACTCCAAATGTGCAACACATGCGTGTGTTTGGATGTATTGCTCATGCTAAAGTTACATCACCTCATACACCAAAACTTGATGATAGGAGTGTCATGACCATCCGATTGGGTTATGAAGAAGGCTCCAAAGCTTAAAGGTTGTTAGACCCCATAAGAGAAATAATTATCATAAGTAGAGATGTAGTATTTGAAGAAGAGAGAGGTTGGTCATGGCAAAATAATCAGAAAGGAGAACGTGAAAAACTGTGACACCACTTTCACAGTTCATATGAGTGATGATAGAGCTGAGAATGATGCTACATTGATTGAAAATGGAGATGAAGGAGAGACATCATCTCAAGTCTCTCCTCACAGCTCACCAAGATCAAACTCAAGCTCTACCTCAAATGAAGGACATCTCAACTTCAGATCCTTTGATGCCACTTATGAAATGGATGAAGAAGCAGGATTGTGCTTCTTATCTATAGAAGAACCATCAAGCTATGAGGAGGCGAATATTTTAAAAGAGTAAAAATGTATCTACATGACATTTTCTGAGAAATGTGATTTTTTACACAACTTGACATTTTTAATGTAGTGATGCGAAGATGGAAGGTGGGGATTCGAAGGTAGTGGCCTACATATTATTTAATATATTTTAGGTATTTTATTTTATTTTTTAGATGTTTTTATGTTTTTTATATATATTTTTATTTTTAACTTGAATTTGGCTAAAGGGTCAAATAGACTCTCGAACTTACTTAAAAAGTGCAAACCACCCCTTATATAGGAGGCTTTGTCCGGCCGTCGCCATTTGGGGCGGTTCCCGGTGTAATTTTTTGATGATTTTTTTGAGAATCTTCTTCATTATATCTAGTTTACCCATACCAAATTTCAGATAAAAATTCAGGCAGGAAGATAGTCAAATGATTTTCTGAAATGTACTGCGTTGTAAAACTGCGCAGTTATCTTCAAAAATTCATTTGACTGTTGTCCCGATTGAATTTTTATCTGAAATTTGGTATGAGTAACCTAGACTTAATGAAGAAGATTGTCAAAACATTTCATAAAACAATTCCACCATGAATCGCCCCAAATGGCGACGGCCGAATAGAACCTCCTATATAAGGGGTGATTTGCACCTTTTAAGTTAGTTCGAGAGCCTATTTGACCCTTTAGCCAAATTTAAATTAAAAATAAAAAGAATATATAAAAAAATAAAAAAATCTATAAAAAAATAAAATACCTAAAATATATTAAAAAAATATGTAGGCCACTACCTTCATATCCCCACCTCCCATCAACAGCACACGTCCGATCGCTGGAAAAAATGTCATCTTGGTAGAATAGGACTATGTTGGTAGAATAGAATGGGAGATTTCCAAAAATAGAAGTAAATGAAGTTTGAAATTCCAAAATATGACTACTTTGTTTTTATTCCCTAAATGGGACTAACATGGCATTATTTACTGTCATCTTGTAGCCATGACTGCCAAATAATTGCAGTACACTGCATTTAACATGACAATATTTATTATAATAATGACAGTATTTTTCAATCATGGCAGTATTTTCATACATGACAGTAATAACTCCTATTTCGGGAAGAAAAACATATTTTGGAATTCCAAGTGTCATTTGCTCCTATTTTGGATAATTTCCCAGAATAGAATATGTAGGCCACTACCTTAATTTATAAATAGTTTTTATGATTTTTTATTTTTTTATTAAAAATAAAACTATGCTTTTTTTATTAATAAATAAATATATTAGAAATTAGAGGTTGATGGTAGAATAGGAAGAAAAGACATACTCCATATTACTCTTATTTTGAGAATAAAAAGAGTATAGTCCTGATGTGTAAAATTGGGCTACTTTTAGTCCTATTCAGGGCTAATACCCCTATAGGAGTTGAAGTAATAAAAAACAGAAGAGTTAATTAGTTAAATAGGACTAAAAGAAGGCCAAAATCACAAATAGGAGTAGTAGTTTTAAAATTGCCAAAATATGACTTTCTTGCGTTTTGACAAAAATGCCCCTGCCACCCCATGCACCACCTGCCACAGTCGGACTCCGGTCGCCGGTCAGTGCCGCCACCACTAGACGTCCCTTCACCAACGGACTGTCCCAATTATTCAAGTGAACTAAGGGGGAAGTTAATTAATCGGATTTGGTGTGTTAATGAAAAAAAATTAATGAGTAGTCCTATTTGTTAATGATTTTTATTGTAGTATCAATTCTGCAATTCAGCTTGTATGTGTTTATTCAGGATAATTACTAAAAACAAAAATGATTAATGTATGGTTGTGACTTGTGAGCCAAAGGGGCCGGCCGGCCACTTGCTAAAAGTAGTTAGATTCGGTAGATTTTGATTTGACCATGAGAATTGACGAACATTTAATACTACGTGTTAAGAAGCAAGTGAATGCCTAAGAATACATCTTTTTTGTTTCACAAAATTTTACACTAATTACATACTCCCTACTTACCGAAAAGGTTGGCCAAATTGACTTTTCTTGCTCAATGACAATCAACTTTGACTAATGATATTTCTTAATACGAAATTATTTAAAATATAAAAATTATATCAAAATGTTGCTCATTCACAATATTTTCATAAAAGTATAAAATTTATAAATTATATACTCCCTCCGTTTCTGAAACAAGTTCCACCTTTCCTTTTAGGGCAGATTCAAAATTAAGTTCCACTTTCAAACATTTCCTTATTTGGAAAATTATCTACATCAAAACAGTGTCAAACAGTGTCAAACGGTGTTCAAACAATGCCAAACAGTGTCAAACAGTGTTCAAATAGTGCACTCCACAGTAAAGTCAAATTTATTTTCTTAATATGTGTCAAGTCAAATGTGGAACTTGTTTCAGAAACGGAGGGAGTATAAATATACTCCCTCAATCCCAATTTGATTTGCAAAATTTCCTTTTTTGGTTGTCTCAAAATGATTTTCCACTTTCTATTTTAGGTATGTAAATAAGAATAAAGTGACAAATTTACCCTTACTTTTACTTTTTCTCCATTAACTTAAAGGCATTTACTTTTAGGAAGATGGGCAAAAGTATAAAAAACAAATATCATTTATTGTCATTTCTTAATCCTTGTGTCGATCAAAGTTTGCAATTCAATTCGGGACAGAAGGAGTAATAATTAAAATCATTGATCAAAAAAAGTCAATATGGTGAACCTTTTTCCGAAAGAAGATACTACTTTCTCAAATTTAAGTGTCACATCACATGAATTATTAAAAATAAACACAGGGTGACTAAAGTTTATTGAGAATAGAGTACGAAAATTGTATGGGTTGAAGAAAGATGGAGGAGGACCTGAACGTTGGCACCGGTAACAATGTTAGGTTTGTCGGTGGGCTTGCCCTGGGCTCTCATCTTGTTCTGCCACTTGCGCTTGAAGGCCAAACCGGCGAGCATGATGGCCTCGGATGAGCCGACGGTGCCGACACCGACGGCGGCCTCTCCGTCGCCGAGCGGCGCGTTGAAGAGATGGGCGATGATGTTGACGCATCGGTTCTGGAGCTCAGTGGTGACAGGGTATTCGTCCATGTCGACGTAGTTCTTGTTGATGGAGGCCATGATGAGCTTGTCACACTCCGGCTCCATCCACGTGGTCACGAAGGACGCCAGGTTCAGCCTCGGGTTCCCGTCCAGCATCAGCTCGTCGTTGATGATCTGATACGCCGCTTCCTTCGGGATCGATTCTGCCGCCATCTCAAACCTGCATCCCAGGCCTACCTCATCAATATGGAGTATTATATATATATATATATATATATATATATATATATATATATATATATATATATATATATATATATATATATATATATGTATATATATATATGATCGTCGCGGAGATCAGATCGCAAACATTATATATATATATATATATATATATATATATATATATATATATATATATATATATATATATATATATATATATATATATATATATATATATATATATAAAATGGATCGTACCGGGGAAGCGAAGTGCGGACATATCTGGAGGCGAAGGTGGAGGAGTGGACGGAGGCGTCTGGTCGGGAGGTTGCCTTTGACAAAACCATTATTAGCAGCTTTTCGATATATAGTATAGATAGATCTGAGGAGTGACCGGAGAGTGGTGGCCGGCCTGTCTGCTATATATATATATATATATATCCCGTTTTTAATAATTAAACTGTGATGTTAATTAAGGAATAAACGTTATTGAGATCTGATCTGATGGAATATGTATATATATATACAAGGATCATCGGAACGCAGTTATTAATATGCGGGTCGGAGATTTGCACATCTAGCCGAACAACTAACGTGCTCTTCGTTTACTTTCACTTCACTTTTTATTACCGTGTCCTCCCTCTCATGCCATCATATGACTAATTTAAATTTTTATAATTCACCTAGCATGAAAAAGAATCTAAATTTGAATAAAGGAAAATAATACAAAATTATAAATTTATAACAAAATTGATAAAAATCAATTACAAAAAAATGAAATTTTAGTGAAAATAAATCAAAAAATGACTAAAAATATTTGTTTACCTTCTGTATATTTGTAGAATTATTGTATTTTTTTTACATGTTTAAAAATATTTAGTTTGAAAATTTATAAAAATATTTTTATGTCTTCCAAAAATTGAGAATAGATAATTGGAATTAATAAAAAAACGACTATACATGGGATTATTTATAGCTTACACATAGTTCACATTTAAAATTGATCTCATATATCCTAGCCGTTTAGGGACTATTTTTGGAAAATGGTTCTTATAGTTGGGATCATTCAAGAATAATCGATAGTTGAGATTATTAATAGAGGACCAACAATAGTTGAGATTATTATTTTCAATTTTTCTTTTTTATGGTAAACTTACGAGGTATTTAAATAATAAAATGTACTCAATATTAGACCTCCAATGGCATAATGTGCACAGTTCACATAATGCATGAGTGAGACAATAACAACAACAACAACAACAACATTCAAGCCTTAATCCCAAAAGAATTTGGGGTCAGCTAACATGAATCGATCAATGATATCGATGCCAAACAGAGAAGATGGACAAGAAAGGGAAGAAAAAAAGGTAAGATAAAACGAATAAAATAAAGATAAATAAATACTACCTCCGTCCCGGTAGACTTTGTCAAGTGCAAAGTAGGTGAGAAATAAGAATAGCAAAAACTGTGTGGTTGAGATTTGTGCAGATGAGTGAGAAATGTGCAGAACCACAAATTAGTTGCTTTAATAGGAAAGTGACAAAGTTTTTTGGACAACCTAAAAAGGAAAGTTGGCAAAATCCAATGAAACGGAGAGAGTATAAGATCACAACAACACTAGAATATAAGAAAGATAAAAGATTAAAAAAAAGGAGCATAAAAGCTAGAATATAAATAACATAAGAGTATACAAAGTTAAAGAAGATAAACGATAAAAGACAAAAGAGAGGAAAGGTAGAAAAGACATCAATCTAATTCACCATCCTTCTGAATTATGGAACCCAAGTAACGGGACATATCACACACTGATCTCCTTATCATCAAGAGTAATCTCACTGTTGCTACTACTTCTACCTCCACCAAACTTGCACTCCATATACTCATTCTGGCTTCGGCTCGGTCTGAAACCCTTGGTCTCGAGATACTTCCAACTTTGCTTTAACACCGGATTGTGTCTCCTCAATCAATACAATATCGTCGGCAAACAACAAGGCATGAGTGAGCCATACAAATAAATCAATGATATTTCTTTCTCTTTCTTTTCATGGTTTTATATAATGTTGGTGACTTTTTCTCAACAATGTCTGTATATATTTAGACATTCTTCTTGATATTGTGGAGAAAAAATTACCATAAACATATAAAGATCATTCAAATAAGGAGAGAGTGGAAAAATTCTTAAACGAATTTTAAGCTGAAATTTTGTGGAGATGATCTACACTTCATGAAGAACGTGGTCATAAATTTTCATCAAAAGTTTCTACTAAGAACCACCTCAAAATGGGCCAGCCGGACGGTGGATCCTATCACACCGGCCTGACAGGATCGTTATAATTACTTTATACACACACACATATATAGACACACACAAATTAAAGAGTTTTTTTTCAAAAATATTACTAATATAAAATATACAAGTTACTATATGTGTAAGTTTTATAATTAGTGGGATTAAAGTTTACGTTAATAGTCGGTGATGCATGCCCTAATGCTGAGTTAGGATTATTAGCAGTAGCAAATTAAAAAAAAAACTTCTGGAAGCGCCCTTATTTAAAATAGTGCCTATACAGGCATACAACTATACTACTTCAAATTTCAAAATGATTGGAGTATTACTTAGGATGTTTTTACTTGGAGTGTAATTCCTCCCAGACCAGATCATACCAGTTCAGATCAGATCAGACTTGGATAGTTTTGAAAATATAAAGAAATCAGACCAGACCAGACCAGACCAGACCAGTTCAGACCAGACCAACATATTACAGCTCAAGTAAAAACATCCTTATTTATTTACTTAAAAGGGAAAATTACTTTTAGCCTCATGACGTTATGTCATAATTATTAATACGACCTTTACATTTTCAAAAATCAATTAGTTATCTCCTGAGATTTTGATCATTGTCACTAAGCTATATGCCCCCACGTTAATACTTCATAAATTAAATTTAATATAACTCTTAAATAAAATGAAAGTTGTTTATAAAATTAATACTATGTATAAGTCATTGTTATTGATCATTATTTTTGTACTTAGCTACTCGATCATGGAATACGATTAATGAGAGTAGTTAAGGGGAAGATTCACGAGTAATATTCATGGGAGACATCAAAGCAAGTTGTTTAAAATGTGTTATCAAAATTCTAGGCACTTCTTCATCATGAATATAAAAGTCTTATTTGTAATTCATCCGGTTGAACTAATCTCAAAGACATTTCTTTCGTGTGTAACAAATTAAAAAAGAAATATCAAGAAAAAATGAATTTTATTATTTCGCCATGACCTAAAAGATAGGTAATAAGTGTTCTAAAAGATAGGTAATAAGGGATCCAAAAGATAGAATATACCGATATAAGATCTGAATAATTTAAAGATATCAATCTAAGACCTAAATTGTCATATATTTTAATTTATTTAAATTTTTATTAACTTTGTTACTAATTTGTGATAATTTTATTTTCACACAAGTTTTTATTACAATAAAATGTTTATTTAGTTTTATAAGATTAAATGTTGTTTAATTTTTTTAAATAAAAATATTAAAAATCGTGATATTTTATATCCTACTCCTGAGTGTTTTCCCTTAACTACTCTATATAATATTTATTCTATGATGAAGTAGCCAAGTAGAAAAATAACGATAAACAATAATGGCTTAAAATTATGATAATATTTTGTGTTTTACTTTAAAATTAATTTTATAGTCAATTTTCATTGAATTTAAGAATTATATTAAATTTGATTTAACCAATATTAACTTCAGGGGACAAGGAATGAGAATGATCTAAATTCAGGGATAACTAATTGATTATTTAAGACGTAAGGTTACATTAATAATGATGACATAATTGAAGGTAATTAAAACCTACAGTTAAACGTTGATCACGCACTTGTACGTAGAAAAAATGTACTCGACGAAACATAAAGACGGACGTAGTGGCAAGATTGTCGGTGGCTAGAGAACGCCGGTCATGCAACGGTAGAATATGAAGCAGTTATTATTCATGGCCCTATTATCTTCTATACCACAACATATTGTCTTCCTTCTTATAATTCTCATCTTAGCTTGTACACTTGGAACTATATAATAATTAATAAATGAGTTGTTCTCAACTAATCGCTCGCAAAAATTTACTCTTTTATTGTTTGTCGATGTTCCCATAAGCATTAAATATTAATCGTTCCATCAAAGGTTATTCAAAGGTTTACACTTTGAAACACTTGAAACTATAACATTTGGGTGAAGAAATTCATAAAAACTCACACCCTCCTTCCCCAAGTTTGTTATACTTTCTTTTACACTGTATATTTAAAAGTTTGTTACACTTTTAATTTCCCCCAATGAGATCTCATGATAAGTTTTCCCTTTAAAAATATTCAAATACATTTACTTTTTCTACATTTTATCTTTACTTTCATACGTTTACATCTCTCTCTTACTTTTTATACTATTCAGTACCCTATTACCATGTGATAAAGTTTTGAATAATGGCATTGAATGAAATGTTATAGTGTACATCTTAATATATACTTCCTTCGTCCCACAAAACTTGGTCAACTTGCACTTATAATAATAAAGTAAAAATTGTTTCGTTGAGATTGATGCATATAAAGACAACTTTAACCACATACTTACTTCTTACCTTAAATGGAATTGACAAACTTTTTGGGAACGACCAAATAAGAAAATTTGGCAAAGTTTTGTGGGACGGAGAGAGTAATACATGCCTCAAGTAAATAAAAATAGCTAAGTAACCCACATAATCATGTGGGATGACTCCGTATGGTTATACTGATGGAGCATAATTGAATACCATACCAGAGCAGACCAGTTGAGACCAGACCAAACTTGGATAGTTATAAAATACACAGAGACCAGACAATTATCAGATCAGACCGGACAAATTCAGACCATATCAGATCAGACCAGATCCGACCACACAAGACCAGACCAGACCAGACCAACAAATTCAGTCTAAGTAAAAACATTCTTAATGTCTCCATTATGCCCATGTCTCTTCATCTTTAGTTTCTGCCACTGCCACGTAGTCATGCATTCATAGATGGCTTACCACGTAAGCCCTAGGTAATAGAATAATAATAGGGATATTTATGTACTTTACATTTAAACTCTTTTAATATAAATATATCTGTAAGGGCTACTAAGAGAGCATCATGTTCCATTATTCTCACATGGTATCAAGAGCACAGTAAAAACCCTAGTTTATTTTCGCTTCCTTCCCTTACGTTCGGCGCCGAAGGCTTACACTACAGTCGCCACCGCCTCTCGACCTACGCCACCGCCGCAGAGCTGATGACTTATGTGCCATCTCTTCCGCAACACCTACCATCGCGACAGGTTCCGCCACATCCAGCTCCTCCGTCGCGGCCAGTGCAGCGTCGTCCACCGACATCACACCACCGACAACCATCTCTTCTGGCTTCGCCTCACCAAGCCAACCCTCCAAGCCTTATTCTCTGTTTCAACAACTTTCGCCAACGTTTCCTTGGTCAGCACCAATTCCGGTGCAGCAAGTTCCTCTTGAGCCGCCTCCCTTCTCAAGTCCTTCATTCACTGGGCCCA